AAGCCACCCTCTATCACCCACAGAGCAGGGCCGATCAAGGGGTTGGGGCGCCGCACCCTGTCACACTCAGGGCAGGGGCAATGGGGAGGTTATGGCTCTACCCCATCACACACAGAGCAGGGCCCATGGTGGGGGGCGTGCTGCACCCTGTCACACACAGAGCCGCAGGGCAATCAGGGGATTGGGGAGCTCCCCCCATCAAGCACAGAGCAGGGCTGATCAGGGGGTTGTGGCGCCTTCCCCTGTCACGAGCAGACCAGGGCAGATAAGGAGGTTGTGGTCCCTCCCCCTGTCACAAACAGAGCCCCAGGGTGATCAGGGGGTTTGGGTGCTGCCCCCTGTCATGCTGATCCTGGTCCCGGGAGGCCTCTCGGCTCCGCTGATCCCGGTGCTGGGAAACATATTACCCTTTTACTATATAGGATAGAGGCCTGGTGCATGGGTGGCGCTGGCTGGTTTGCCCTGAAGGGTGTCCTGGATAAGGGTGGGTGTCCCCACTTGGGTGCCTGGCCAGCCTGGGTGAGGGGATGATGGCTGTTTGCAGCTGGTCACACACCCTTCAGGGTGGGGGTCCCAACTGGGGTGCCTGGCCAGTCTGGGTGGGGGGCTGAGGGCTGTTTTCACGCTCGCGGGTGAATGAAGGTCCCAACTGCTCCTTTTTTTCTTCTTTATTTGAGCCAGCTTTAGCTCTGGCTCCAGCTCTGAGGCCTCTGCTGCTGAAAGTAGGTATCTGGTTTGTTTGCGTTCTATAATCGAAAGAATGTATAACTCCAGATCTGAGATCCCGACTTGCTGAAAGCAGGTTTCTGGGGTTTTGTTTAGCTTCTATATTTGTTACAATGTTTCAAACTGCAGGCTCAGAGGCCAGCAAGGCAGGCGGGGAACGTTGGAGTCCTCCGTCACTGAAGCAAGCAAGCCTCATGTTAGTTTCAAGCTGCCTGCCTGCCGGCCGCTATCTTAGCTGGCAGTTAATTTGCATACCGCCCTGCTTAGCCAACTGGAAGGTTAGCGGTCGTACGCTAATTACCATGTTTCTCTTTTATTAGATAGAATGGACTTCCATTGGTGTTTCAAAAAGGTTAATCTATTAATTATAGAAAACATCATACTTTTAGAAGTTTAAAACTGAGTTTAGAGATGAGCTAGTCCAACTTTTTCACTTTACAGTTATGTGTGGGATAAAAAAAGTTAAATACATAAGATATTCAGCACATTAGTTATAATAATAAAATACTAGAAGCTGTAAAATACTAAATTCCAACACTAGAAAATATAGGTGTTTCCCCTGGGTGAAATGTCATGCAAACAATAAAATAGATGAAAATGGAGACTATACAACATGGGAAAATACCTAAAATATGAATTTATATAAAAAAATGGTATTATCTTCTCTATATATAAAACCCTAAGTGACGGTTACAACCAGAACGACCCGTCACCAGTCGCTATGATTTGCACTGACCACTAGGGGGCACATGCTCAACGCAGGTGCTGATCCCTGGTGATCAGTGCACTACCACAGCCAACCTCCATGGCCGGCCAACCTACTGCAGTCCATCCTCCCGTGGCCTCTCTCCACCACTGGCAGACCCCTATCGGGCCCTTCCCCCACCAGCGGGCCCCAATTGGCTCCTCCCCTTTTCTTTCCCACTGCCAGCCTTCCATGGCCCATCCCCCTGGCCGTCCAACTTCTTAAAACCCCTCCCACCAGCCAGCCGGCAAACCTCCCGTGGCTCATCCTTACAGCCAACCAACCTCCGTGGTCCCTCACCCCCTCCCGGCCACCTAGGGGAGAGGGGCCACAGGAGGTTGGCTGCCGGCCCCAATCAGAACTGGGCGAGGAACCCCACCCATGCACGAATTCGTGCACCGGGCTTATAATACAGTATAATTGCTTATATAAAAATTTCAATGCAAACTAAAACACTTAATGAAAATAGACTAATATTGAGGAACCAAGATGGCGGCCTAGGTAAACACCTGAACTTGCTGCCTCGCACAACCACATCAAAACTATTACTAAAAGACAAAATGGATATCATCCATAATCACGGGAAGTCTGGCTGAGTGGAAGTTCGACAACTAGAGGGAGAGAGAAAAGCGCATCTAGACTGGTAGTAGGTGTGAAAGAGAGGAGGTACGGAGGCGCGCAAAACACCTGTCAACTGGGTGTGTTATGGTCTTTTTCAATCGGGAGGGAGATACAAACTCCCGACTGCTCTGAACTCCAGTTCCGGGCAAGAACCTGGGGACCCAGATTCATACAGGGAGAAACTGGACTGTCTGGCATCGGGCTGGAACATGAGGGTGGCTTTCTCTCAGAGGTGCTCGAAGCATTCATCGTTCCTGCACAGGGCTGCTGGACACAGAGACCCAGGGACCTATCTGGGACAGGGCCGATGGGCAACCATTGCTGTTTGCACCACCCCATGATTCCCTGAGACTCTGCCCCACCCAATTTACAACCCCACTCAAGCTGGGCGCAGAGGCTTTTTCATATGAATGGCCTGGCCTTTTGCAATCTAAAAGCTAACAAACTGCAGCTGGGTCAAAGAACCCCAGAGCTTCCAAAAGAAGGCCTAACACTCCTCAGCAGCCTGCATTGCTTCATAGCTGTGCCTCTTCTCGCCCCTCCAAACCCCAAAGAGGTGGAATCTGCAGATCTCTCTGTAGTTCCTGCTGCGTGGCCTCAAGCAGTGGCTGACTTTGCACCTCCTTGGAGATCCAAGAGCCAGTGAACCCAGTGGTCAGAGTGAGACCACACCAGATTACAACTTTTCAGATCCATAAGAGACACACTTACGGAGCAGACTCAGTCAGCACCAAAGCGCTGAAGCAAATCCTTCCCCATAAGGGTGTTTCCAGCACAGCAGTTCTCTCGTAGACACAACTGGTCCTCACAGCCAGTTGGCCTGGAGTTCAATTCCTCCCAGTGATACCAACAGCAATCAAGGCTTAACTACAACAAGACTGGACACAGCCCACAAAGGGGCGCACCAAGAGTGTCCTCAGGTAATTATGGAGGCTGAGCCACTGGGCCCTATAGGACACCTAGCACAGAAAGCCACTCTACCAATACAGGGAAGCAACCAAAATGCAGAGACAAAGAAATATGTCACAAACAAAAGAAATGGAGGAAAGCAAACTATTGGATATAGAATTCAGAACCATGGTTATAAGGTAACGCAAGAATCTTCTAGAGGAAGAACCAAGATGGCGGCATAGGTAAACACCGGAGATTGCTGCCTCGCACAACGACTTCAAGAATACAACTAAAAGACAGAACCGGCCTCATCCAGAACCACAGGAAGGCTGGCTGAGTGGAAATTCTACAACTAGGAGGAAAGAGAAAAGCATGCCGGGACTCAGAGGAGCTGCAGTGCGGAAGTTAAGTGCACAGGTACGGAGGCAGACGCGGAAAAGGCTGGCGGCTGAGGACAGGGTTGGCTTTTTCAGTCGGGAGGGAGTCTCAAGCTCCTGACTGCTCTGAACTCCAGTTCCGGGCGAGTCTCTGGGGACCCTGACTGATAAGGGGAGAGGCTAGGCCAGCCGTGGGCAAACTACAGCCCGAGGGCCGGATCCGGCCTGTTTGAAAAAAAAAAAACAAAAAAAAAAAAAAAAAAAAGACCATACCCTTTTATATAATG